TTTATGTATATTTTATATATATATATATATAAAAAATTCACAATAGCCAAAAAGTGAAAACAACCCAAATGTTCATCACCTGATGAATGAGTAAGTTTCAGGATATCCACCAATGGAATGTTATTCAGCAATAAAAAGGTTTGATATAATGATAGATTCTAAAAACATGGATGAACCTTGGAAATATTCAAAGTAGAGTAAGACAGGTGTGAAAGACATATATTGTATGATTCCATTCATATGGAAGTCCAGAGCATGTAAAGCTATATAGAAAGTAAATTCATGGTTACATAGGCCTAGGGTGTAGATGGGGGGCAGGGGGTGATAGCTAAAGGACAAGGTTTTTTTTTTTTTTCTTTATCGTTTTTTGAGATGGAGTCTTGCTGTGTCACCCAGGCTGGAGTACAGTGGCACAATCTCGGCTCACTGCAACTTCTGCCTCTTGGGTTCAAGTGATTCTCCTGCCTCAGCCTCTCATGTAGCTGGGATCGTGTGCCACCACGCCCAGCTAATTTTTGTGTTTTTAGTAGAGACGGGGTTTCACCATGTTGGCCAGGCTGGTCTCGAATTCCTCACCTCAAGTGACTCACTCACCTTGGCCTCCCAAAGTGTTGAGATTACAGGCATGAGCCACTGCACCCAGCCTAGGGGTTTTCTTTTTGGTGATAAAAATGTTCTAAAGTTTATAGTGATGATGCTTGCAAATTCTATAAGTAGACTTAATGCAGTGATGGTTGCAAATTCTATAAATATATTTAATGTGGTGATGGTTGCAAATTCTATGAAAAACCCAAATTGTACAGTTTCAATGAGCATGCTTTGTGAATGTCTTAATAAAGCTTTTATTTAAAAAATGAGCAGGCCAGGCGCGGTGGCTCAAGCCTGTAATCCCAGCACTTTGGGAGGCCAAGACGGGCGGATCACGAGGTGAGGAGATCGAGACCATCCTGGCTAACACGGTGAAACCCCGTCTCTACTAAAAAATACAAAACACTAGCCGGGCGAGGTAGTGGGCGCCTGTAGTCCCAGCTACTCGGGAGGCTGAGGCAAGAGAATGGCGTGAACCCGGGAGGCGGAGCTTGCAGTGAGCTGAGATCCGGCCACTGCACTCCAGCCTGGGGGACAGAGCGAGACTCCGTCTCCAAAAAAAAAAAAAAAATGAGCAAACGGTAGATTGTTAACATGGCCCACATCTATGTGGTGTCTGTATTGGTTTCTATTATACGTTTTCTATGTGGTTGAAACATTCCTAATAAAATGTGCATAATTTTTTAAAAAAGAAACACATCAGTGGACGTGAATGCAGGATGTCTTATGGATGCTCACACAGAAGCTCCCATTCCTGAGGAATGCAGGGAAAAGCAGGAGAGGGGGTAGGAGTTGGCATGGCCCAGCTAGCTCAGATGACACACGATGGTCCCAGTGGCATGGCTTGGTTTGTGCGATTTGTGCTTTGGGGTTTTATTTTGGCACCTTATAAAGGAGTAAAGCCTGTACACAGTCAGTTTCTGTCTAGCTAATAAAGGGCAGCGGGATGAAGCAGTTTACCTTGACTAACCTTGACTAACCATCCACTTACATTGATTAGGAATCTTGTGATCCTATCTTCACCTGTGAGATTTCTATGTTGTTTGTGTTGAATGTCAGAGAATATCTATTAATCGCTCATACAGTTTACGCAAATACTGTATACGTGATAAACATCCCTACAACATGATCTTTGGAATGAACTAAGACAAAGGAAATTCTGAGGAAGGACCGTGGCGTGAGAGGTGGAATTCGTCCTTCCGAGGACTGAGATGAGGATGGAAAGTGAACCATCGGTAAATACAACCTTAGTCCGGACACATTTGCCTAAAATGAGCTCAAAGGGCACAGGTGTGCAGACAAAGCATGCTCGATGACATCATAACTCAGAATTCAGTAACCCAGTGTATCAGCTCCCTCACAAGGGATGTGCCAGGGTGAGGGCCACTGTTGAGAGTCTGTACCCAGTGATGGTCAGGGACTCAGTGACAGTGACTCTGGCAGCCCTGGCCGGATATCAGTGGATCCCCCAAGCCAGGTGACTCTCACTAACACCGCCCAGGGCACCAAGACCTGAAAGACATCTTGGGTTGCTGAAGTTAGAATCAAAGTGCAGCTACAAAAGGGCAGCTACCTGGATCAAGTCCATCCTGGTAGCTGTCAGAAAGCACAGCATGTTCACCAACGGCCTTGCTCACATTGTCAGATGGAGTTTCTCAGGAGGCCATGGCTTCTTCAGGGATCTGTCATCCAGTGGTGAAGGGAGGAGGCAAACCCACCCGGGGCCGCCCCAGCTGCACTGGCTCCCAGAGAGTGACCTGGGTACATGAACAGGGAGGCCAAACCCGTCTAGAGCCTCAGCACACCCCCAGCACCTGCTGTGAGCAAGCTGCATGGCTTCCCCGAACGTGGATGTGATGATGTCACGGGTATTTACAGATTCCCTTGCACTGTGTCCCACAGTGCTCCTGGTTCATGTGTGATACTCTGCACTTGGGGTGGAGGTGTGCTGACAGTCGTAAAGAGTCGAGCCTTTCTTCATTCTTTCCCATGGCTCTGATACAGTTTCCAGACACCAGTGAGGAAGGAAGTTCCTGAGATGATAATGTGACCTTGTCCCAGTCACATTAGACTGCTAGGACAAAGTGTCATAGACTTGGTGAGTAGGGGAGGGGGCACATATTAAGAAACGAAATGTATTTGTCAGTCTGGAGGCTGGAAGTCTGAGGTTAGGGTCCCAGCAAGGTGAGGTTCTGGCGAGGGCTCTCTTCCTGGCTTGCAGACAGCTGCCTTCTCACTGTGTCCTCATGTCAGGGAGAGAGCGAGCTCTGGGATGTCTGCTTCTTACCAGGGCCCTAATCCCATCATTAGGGCCCCACCTTCATGGTCTCGTCTAACCCTGAATAACTCCCAAAGGCCCCATCTCCAAATACCATCACATGAGGAGTTAGGGCTTCAACACAGGAACTGGGGGGGACTCACATTCAGTCTATCAGAGCCCCCCCATCAGCCGCACTGTGCCTGTGTAGGGGCAGATTGTAGGGCTCAGGCGGGACACAGAGGTGGAGGAAGCACAGGTTCTGCCTCTTGGAAATGGCTCAGCCAAAACAAGGACAGGGACAGTGGGGCAGAAAACAGCTAGTGAGGTAACCAGCAGAAGCCCCGAGGTGTCACTAAGCCAAGGTATCATTTTCACCCTTAAGTGAGGAAGTTGGCTGAGCACACACACACACCAGAGTACCGACCACGTTCCCTTCAAACACGGCTCACTTAACATTCCTAAACCCTGCAAAGGGGAGGTGTTACCTTGTCTCCTGAGGTTGACCCTGAATGTAGAGGAGTCACGGGAGCTGCCTGCATCACCCACCAGTGACTCTTCACTCCCCACATTTTCCCCGAGGGCCTGATGTGCACTGAGCTGGGGAAGCCCTGCCAAGATAAACTCTCCTTCCCAAAGGGCACAGAGGGCGGAAGGCCTCCGACACTGCCCACATCGAGCAGAAGGGACGGGGCAGAGGGGCACCTGTCTGGCTGACTGCTGTGTTCTGTGGGGCAGAAGGGACAGAGCAGAGGGGCACCTGTCTGGCTGACTGCTGTGTTCTGTGGGCAGATGGGGCCGCCCAAACACGGCTCCCTTTGTCACTTGGCAGAGGGGCCAGGCCACCATATACCAGACAGCTTTGCCCCACCAGCTTCTGCTGCTGGGCCAGCGCCCGGCACCATGAACACAGCTGTGCATGCAGGCGGTGCTGGGACCTGTGCTCTGGCAGTCACAGCGGTCCTGAGCCAACAAGGGCCCTGGGGAGGAATTGGAACTCAGACTGTGGACAAGAAGGTATTGGCCAGGAGGGAACCAGGGCAGGTGCCAGGTCCTGTCCATGCTGGGATCTGAGATTCTAAGGGTGAGTTAGGGGTAAGGGGGACAGAGGTTGGCCACATGGGGTGAGGGGAGTTCAGCAGAGATGGGGAGGACAGGACAACCTGGGAAAGAGCAGAGCGCCCTCCCCAGCCTCAGTCTCTCTCCTGATGCAGTCCTCATCTCACTCGTAGACTCCGGAAGTCTCCCTTCGGCGAACACCTGGCCCCCGACTCCCAGGGCACTTCCCAAACAGCCAGTGCCACATCCCAGGCAGCCCCTGCTCTGCCCTTGGGGTCTGTGCCTGGCAGAAGGGTGGCTGACTCTTGGCCCCCCCTGGCCTGGGCCCCAGCTCCTCCTGGCCCTGGGACCAGCAGACACACCCACTCTGCGCCTGGCGGGCTGGTCATGCTTGTTCCCATTGGTGATGGTGTGTTGAGAGGGAACTGTTTTAGATACCAATGTAAATCTCTGTCTACATCAATTCCACACGAGTTCAGTCATCATATGAGAAGGGAATCATAGCTGGGGGGGGCTCCATGCAGGACCCCAAGGGCCCCTGAGGCCAGTCTCTGTGGCCACAGCAAGGAGCATCTGCTTCAGCTAGTTGGACAAGACTCTCTCCTGCCCAGAAACAGGCAGAGGGACTTCCCCTGCTCCACGCCTCTCTTTTCCCACACACCCGTGTGGACGGACACCTCAACGTCTCCCCTCAGCCCAGTGCCCACGGTCTTCCTGATAAGGATTAAGCAGGAGCGGCCCCCTCTTCCCATGTCCATGTTGTAGGCAGCTGCCTTCTCAGCTCCCACCTAGTAGAACAAGAGCCAGCTAGCTCTCTCCAATCCCAGGATTTTCCAGGGATACTGATAACGATGGGAGGCCCCAAGAAGCCTCCCTAAAGCAAGCGGGGTCTTGTGAGTGGGTGGTGGGAGGGATTAGGGCTTCCTCAGCATCTGTCAGTCCCTGGAGCATCTGAAGTGGCCCCCTATACCAGGAGGAAAAAGTGGAGCCAGCTCCTGTGGGTTCCCAGTGCCTGGCATCTCCTGGTTCCCTCTGCCCTCCTTCACAGACACCCTCCACGGAGCAGCACAGCGCCAAGGACAGAGGCAAGCCCCAGAGCATTTTCCAACACAACTACATTTATTCCATTTACACATGAGGCCCCCAAGGGCTTCCCACCCCCAACCGCCTCCCCGCAGGCCCTCCCTTCCCGCCCTCCCTGTTCAGCCACCCTCTCCCTCCCCTCCCTCCTCCACCCTCCAAAGCTAAGGCCCAGCAAGATCAGCACTGGGGGAGAAGCAGCCTTTGCTTTGGGGCACCTGCTGCCATGAGGGTCCGAGAGTTCAGAGCCCCACCCTTGGGGACTGGCACCAGAGAGCCTGCCCCACAGCGGCCCCTACTGGCTACAATGCCGCTTTTTCTTCCTCCTGGAGACCAAGGGGCCACCCCTTCTCTTTTGAGACTGTGAGGGGCCACCCAGTCCTGGAGCCAGGGATTGCTCCCCAGAGACCCTGAGCCCAGGCCCTGGGTCGGGCATCTTTTCAGCAGGGGATGGGCTTCCGAAGAGAAGTCGCTTCTTGGACTTGGTAACAGGAGAGGGTGCTGGGCTGAGGCCTCTTCTCTGAGCAGATGGCGACTGAAGAGCTCCCTGGGGTCCCTGCCCTCCTGGGCTGAGAAGGCCTGAGGAAGGGACAGGGCTCTGGGATAGCCTCCAGGGCCGCAGCCTGTGGTGGGAACCCACGACATACACCATGCCAGGGAGTTCCCTCTCCTCACTTGACCCCTTAGCCAGCCTGTGTGACTCCTTAACAGGAGAGGCTCCAGGGAGATCCAAGGTGTCCTTGGTTCCCAGGCTGGGGCAGGTGGGTCTGTGGTCCTCGAGAGGAGAGGTTGGCGGGGCAGCCCTCAGCCCGGGGCAGTCCTGACATCCCAAAAGCACAGCAGGGTCTTTGGACCTGGCCATGCCGGTGCACACTCTAGCCTGTCCCTGAGGGACCTGGGCAGCCGTCTGGGGTGGGCAGGTTTCCATGCCGATCCCTTGTTGGGGGTCAGGGGCGTCTCTCTCTGCTCCTTGGCGAGCTGCAAACTTAGAAGGACTTGAGTCCAAACAGGCCGTGCCATGACTAGGGGCTGCCCTCACACCCCGTTTCTCCTTCAAGGATAGGAGGCGCTTCTCCACTAGCTGCGGGAGGAAAGAGGCACTTACTGGTGCTGCCCCAGGTGTGAGCAGGGCCCAGGGTGGTGGAGACCAGGGCACTTGGGCGGGAGACAGGGAAGTCTGAGGCATCTGGGCTTCGTGTCAAAGGGAGAGGATGTGGCTCTGCCAGGCATCCCGTTGGGCCTCATTGCAGCTTGCATCCTGACTCCCCTCCCTGGGTCCTCTCCGTCCCACTCCCTCTGAACCTGCATCTTCCCACCCCGGAGTGACTCCCCAAGAAGCTGAGCGTCCCCAGCAGGATGGGGTTAGACAATCAGGTGGGCCTTGTGTGCCAGGTCCCTCCTGCCTCTGGGTTCCCCTCCCTCTGCTGGTCTACCTGGGCAAGTGTGAGTTCTTCCTCCTTCTCCAGCTCCTCGCTTAGGGCCAATAAATCCATCTGTGGATCTGGGGAAAGCAATTCTTCCAGGAATGGGGAGTGAATGACGGCCTCCACCTGGAAACAGAAGGAAGAAGACATGAGCTTCCTGGGCAGGGAGTTAACCTGGAGCCAAGGACACCCAGAGGAGATGCAGAAAGCGGGGAGGGCCCTGTCCCCACCCTCCTGGGGCTGTCTCATATCATGGCGACCACCAGCTACACACACAGACCACAGACCTGGTGGCATACACACATACAGACAGAGACACACAAACCACACATAGACACACAAACAGATCCATATATGACACAGGAAAAGACACAGACACAAGTAACACACATGCCACATTCACACCCACACAGTAACAAATCACAGACACAAACACACAGCAACACATAGACACATGCAATCACATACACAGACACTCAAATCCACAGGAACACACCCACCCACCCCCCTGCTGAGTAGCTAAGGAACAGAGCTTAATTCCAAGGGCCTGGGAGTGCCACCCCCTGGAATCCTGCAGACCCCAGCACTCCAGGCCAGCCCACCTTGGTGACAAAGTCTTCCTGGGAACACAGCTTGTCAATGTAGCTCAGGAGGCCCGGGTCTGGAGTCATCCCATCCTCTTCCTGTGGCTGCTCCACTTTGCCATCTTCACATTGTCCCTCGGGCTCCCCTGTGGCCCCAAGGTGAGACCCCAGCAGCTCCTCCATGATGTCCACATACTCCTGCACCACTTCAGGGGGGATCTCCTCAGGGACCTTGGTCTCTGCTGGCTGCTGGGGCCTGGGTGGTGACAGGTGGGCCTTGGTCTCCGCTGGCCACTGGGGCCTGGGTGGTGGCAGGCAGGCAGGCGGGGCCTTGGGGCCAGCCTTGCTGGGAAGGTACACTGAGGCAGAGAGGGAGGAGGCCGGGCGTGGTGAGGGCCGCTCCTCCCGCCTGCACCACACAGGGGAGGGCAGGGCTTGGGGATGTGAAGTGGGTCCTGGCTGGGTCAGGACCACCTGAACCACAGCGCCCCTGGAGGAGACACGCAGGAGGGGCACATCTGAGACAGCATCGCTTGGGAGGAAGTTTGGAGCCAACGATATGCCGTGTATTCTCCCCGCTCATCCCTGCTTCCTGGGTAGAGCATATGTGGAGTTTTGGACGGGCGAGGGGAGAGAGTAAGTAGGAAACCTGACCAAGTCAATACCCCGCTTTGTGATCACAGGCCGCCCACGAAGTAGGTATTGACCAGGTCAGTACCCAACATACACTCCCAGAAGCTGTCCTGTTGAGGAGCAAACCCCCCTCTTGAAGGGAAGCATGGGGTGTGGGGACAGTGGCCTCCCTTGGCCCCTTTAGCCTTTGCCATGGCTCCTATGGGAATGTGGGAAGCTGTACCTGGCTGCTTGGCCACCTCAGGGGCCGGGGGTCCTCGAGGTTCAAGCCTCGGCGGGGCTGGAGGAGGCAAGCTCTGGGTCCCCTTCATCCACTGTGCTTTCTGCATCTGCATCTCCTCCTCAGCCTCAAACTCCAGGAACCTGGGGGTGAAGGAGGCCCAGGCTGTGCGGAGAGGGTCCAGGCCCCCTGTCCCCAGGACCAGGCAGTGGCTGAGGGCAGGGATGGGAGGCAATGCCTTGGGTGGGTTGTCCAGGCCCTCACTGGGTCTCATCCCCCAGTCCCAGGAGGGAGCTGCTTCTAGAGTTCTGGGCTCACCCTCCCTCACCCGGCCCCTGCAGAGCCCATGGCATCAAAGGGGCTTCCTGACTCAAGTCAGGGCCACGAGGCCCAGGAGGGTCCCAGGGGACCCCTCCTCCAGGTTTCAGCTGCCCAGGGGTGGGGTTGATGGCAGACAGCGTCAGGGATGATGCCCAGATGCAGGAGTCCTGAGGCTGGGACTGCGGGTCCCTGAAAGATAACCCAGGGGCCGAGGCTGGGATCATGGTCCCTTGAAAGATAACCCAGGCACAAGGTCCGGGAGACCCTGGTCGGAGGAAGCAAAGCTGAGCCTGGAGTGACAGGGCCTGCTTTCCGAGGCTGTCTGTCTGTCTGTCTGTCTTCATGGAGGGCACTGCCCAGGAGCAAAGGCAGTCAGGCCAGAGATGGGTCTCTGGTGTCCTGGGCACAGGTCTCCTCTGACCCAACCTCTGGCCAGGCTGGGATGGCAGAAACTCACTTCTGGCCACTGCTGTGAGGAGCCTGTACCCCACTCTGTCTATAGTTACTAGTGCCTCCTTCCCCATCCCCAATAGCTGGAGGTGACTCTGGCTGCGAGCCGCCAGCTGCTCCCACCATGACCTCCAGTGCCGGAGCGCAGGGGTTGGCTCCAGGCCAGGCAGGGGGTGCTTTCCCAAGAGGGCAGACAGAGACTCCCAGAGTACTCTAGGTGGCAGGAGCAACTTCCCTGGAAGGAGTCAGGGCCCAGGGAGCGCTTTGTGTTTGTCCACACCCTCCTCATGCTCCACACTGAGAAGCCACCACGGCCACCAGGCCTCTGTCATTCAGTCTCACTCCCTGCCTCATGGGCTCCTGCTTTCGACTTTGATCACTTTTTCCGCCATCTCGTAGAAGATCATCCGGCCGCTGTTTCTGCAAAGCGCAGATTACAGACGCCCGCCACAGTCTCCTTTTCCTCTCCCGAGCGCGCGTGGGTTTCACTGGGCTAGGGATCGGAGAACTGGCAACCAGTAGCCAGCTCCTAGCTCAGGCTCCACTTTTTCATCTTGAGTTTGTACCTGTCCCAACACCCGGCCCCCGTCCTCCCACACCTGTCCTGCCATCTGTCCATGTCCTGTTCTCCCCCACGTGGGCTCCTCAGGCCCCAGGACACACTCCCCAAGATCAACATCAACATGCCACGGAGTGGCTCCTCCGCCCCTCAAGTCCTCGTGTTATGATGTTGACAAGTGAACTCAGCCATGGGGTGGAACATATGTCCCCAACATTCCTGTGCTGGAAGCCCTCAGCGCCCGCATGTCGGTATTTGGAGGCAATCATGGTTACAGTGAGGTCATGAGCATGGGTCCTGTGTCATGAATCTGAGCCCCCTATAAGGGCAGGAGGAGATGCCAGGGCTTTTCCTTCAGCCACAAGAGGACACAGCCAGAGGCAGCCTCTCCAGCCAGGAAAAGGGCTCCACTGCAGCACTCCACCATGTCACCTTGATCTGGGACTTGTGGCCTCTGGAACCGGGAGACATGAATGTGTCTTGATAAAGCACCTAGTCTATGGGACGACAGCTCTAGCCCAGCCACTAAGACAGCGTGAGCCTGAGCTGACTGAGACAGTGTGCACACAGAATGACCTGGGAGCGAGGGTTAAAGTGTAGGTTCTAGGCCCCAGGACTGAGCATTTCACTAGCTTCCTGGGGACTGGGAGTAAGGCAGCCCCCTGGGGGTGGGAGGCCTCAGGGTCCTGGAGCATGAGAAGCAGGAGCACACGCTCCAGAACCAAAGCAGAGCGGTGTCAAGCCCACTGCAAGCAGTTGTGGTACAGCTTCCTACATTCCCACAGGAGCCATGGTGTGCTCCCATGGCAAAGGCCTGTGAGCCTGGGGCAGCTCCACTCCAAGAATCAGGGTCCCCAGTGCACCAGGACTCTGCTCCAAAGGGGAATGCGAGCAGTACCAGGGTGCGGGGCCAGCGAGATTGTTGGGGAGGAAGATGGGGCTGTGTTCTACCTACACCCCAGGCAGGGGACTTCCCAAGGGGAGCGGCCAGTGTGTTGCACGGTGGATGTGCTGCAAGCTCCCGTTTGCTCATCAGCGGGAAACACAGGGTGACAGAGGCGCCGCAGGGTGGAGAGAGGCCACAAACTCCCGGATGCTGACGTTGCTGCCTCACAGTCACCATAGTCCACAGCCCTGGGCTGCTGGGATCGTGGTGTATTCAGAGCTATCACTGGAGCCTGTGGCTTTGGGGAGCACTCTCCTAGATGGCCTAGTCCTGATAATGATAGTAAAGGGGACAGTAATCATAATTGCTGTCATGTAATGTGTCATAGCATGTGCCAGGCACTATGCTACGCATGTCATATGTGAGCTCAAGTCATCTGTTCACCATTCTCTGAATGAAGCATCATTGTCCTTTTTTCTAGGGAGGATTGAGGGTGAAGATGCAAATACCTGCCCAGCATCGACCCTAGTGCCGGGCCCAAGACCATCCCCCTGTGCAGACTCCACCACCGCGGTGCTCACTGGACCTCACTGGCAGAACTGTGGGCGTATGCCAGGTTCCCGCCGGGCCCTGCAACTCCTCCCCCCAGCCCCATGTGATGTACCCCTGGCCATCGACACTCAATTTGAGGGAAGGCACTGTGGTGTACACTCGAAGACCTAAACCCAGGACGGGTGTGGTGGCTCACACTTGCAATCCCAGCACTTTGAGAGGCTGAGGCGGGTGGATCACAAGGTCAGGAGCTCAACACCAGCCTGGCCAACATAGTGAAACCCTGTCTCTACTAAAAAATACGAAAAATTAGCTGGGCATGGTGGAAGGCACTTGTAATCCCAGGTACTCGGGAGGCTGAAGGAGGAGAATCACTTGAACCCAGGAGGTGGAGGTTGTGGTGAGCCAAGATTGCACCATCGCACTCCAGCCCAGGTGACAGTGCAAGACTCCATCTCAAACAAACAAGACCTAAACTCAAACCGTGGCTCACGTCGCACCAAGAACCCTCTCTGACCTGGGTCTTCCGTAAACATTACTGTGAAAATTATTGAAAGTAAAAGCCGGGCACAGTGGCTCATGCCTGTAATCCCAGCACTTTGGGAGGCTGAGGTGGGTGGATCACCAGGTCAGGAGATTGAGAGCATCCTGCCTAACATGGTGAAACCCCGTTTCTAGTAAAAATATGCAAAAATTAGCTGGCTGTGGTGGCACATGCCTATCATCCGAACTATTCAGGAAGCTGAGGCAGCAGAATTGCTTGAACCCGGGAGGCGGAGGTTGTGGTTAGCCGAGGTCACGCCATTGCACTCCAGCCTGGGCTACAAGAGCAAAAGTCTGGCTCAAAAAAAAGTAAGGATTGGCTGGACTCATGGGATAGTGACGGGCAGTTGACATGAGGCCCCTGACAGTCTGTCCTGAGCCACAGCCAGATTAATGTTGCTGAAAATGTACCTTCCCACAGCACAACTGATCACCCTCACAATCGCCCTGCAAGCTCCCCTGAACAGCGTGACCTCCTGTCCATTCGGCAGCCTCTTTACGTGTGAGCTGCAGGACGAGCTCTGGTGCCCCGAGGACACTCACATGAGGAAGCAGGAAAGCGCTTCGGTGTCAGGACTCTGGGGAAGGTGCCTCCGGGCCAGGGGCTTGTAGCGCTGCCAGAGTCGGAAGTTCTCATAGACACTCTTGAGGTTACAGGAGTCGTCCGGCGGGGCCTTGGCCTGGGAGGGAGGCAGGCTGCCCTCTCCATGAGCCCCTTCTGGCCATGGCCCGGTGTTCCCTAGGGGCATGATGGGAGGCATCTGGGCAGCCGGTGGTGGTGGTGGTGGAATAGGAAGGCCCTGGGACCAGCCTCCCTCACAGGCCTGGGTGCTCCCAACCACCTGGGCAGATGTAATGGGCACCCCAGGAGCAGCTGCCAGGAGTAGGGGAGGTGGACACACAACACCTCCGCAGAGGGCGCCTGGAGCCTGCCAGATGAGGGGGTCCTGAGTTAGGACCAAAGTCTGTGCCTGAGGGGGCTTCACAGGCCCCACTTCTGTCCTCATCTGGACAAAGACGTTGGAAGCCCCGGCCCCACTCGGGCCAAGGCCATCCTGTCCTGCCACCAGAAGTGTGCTGGGGAAGGCAGACAGCACCAGAGGGCCGCCTGGAGGAACTGCTGCCATCACGAGGGGTGGTCCGTGTGCTGGGCCGGGAGCGGGTGTGGCGAAGGGCAGAGCCGTGAACACAGACAGGGAGGCGCCAGGGTTCACGGTCATGCCCGGTCCCAGCACTGGGTATGCTGTGGAGACAAAGGAAAGAGATGAATGAGCTGGGGTCTCCTGGTCCTCACTAGTCACTGGGGAATCAGAGGGGAGCCCCAACAGCTGAGGGCGTGTGACAGGGAAACTCTGCAGCTTGCAAGTGTCCCTGAGTGTGCATGGGATGCTCTGTTCCTCCATGAAAGGGTTGCTCCACTAGAGAGCCGGGCCCCGGTCACCAAGACTCCCTGATCCCTGTCTCCCAAGAAGGAATAGCCAAGCCTTCGCTGCCCGAGGGTCTCCCTCAGTGTCCCTGGCAGACCCCGTCAGCATCACAGGCATCTCCCAAGCCATGGGTCAGGGATGAGTCTCTCAGCGGCTTGGTGGTCCTCAGCGTGCTCAGCAATAGGAGACAGGCCTACCCCAGGGCAGTGCTCGGCACTGAGAAGGCCAACAGGAAGCCAGAAGCTTCCAAATATTATGGCCCTATCTCCTCTTCAGTCTTCCTTTTCCTGAAGCTCCTGTAAACTCCTTTCCTAGCTCAACACCACAAAAGAAAACCACTGGATAGGCCGGGCATGCTGTTTCATGCCTGCAATCCCAGCACTATGGGAAGTCGAGGTGGGCGGATCACCTGAGGTCAGGAGTTCAAGACCAGCCTGGCCAACATGGTGAAACCCCGTCTCTACTAAAATACAAAAATTAGCTGATGGCGCATGCCTGTAATCCCAGCTACTCAGGAGGCTGAAGCAGGAGAATTGCTTGAACCCAGGAGGCAGAGGCTGCAGTGAGCCAAGATCACGCTACTTCATTCCAGTCTGGGTGACAGAGCGAGACTCTGTCTCAAAAAAAAAAAGAAAAAAGAAAACCACCAGATGGAAATCTCACCCAAGCCAGTGCCCTAGGAACCCCGAAGATAAACCATAACACATCATGCCCAGCATGCAAATGATTGTCCTGGCACCACCCACACAAGTGCTAAATGGGGGTCAGATTCCGGCCAGCCGTTCCTCAGTGCTCAGTGGTCCCACCTGCCACTCAGGAAGCTCTGTTCCCAGGGAGCATGTCTGAGAGGCAGTGGTGGAGTCCCAAGAGATACTGTCACCGCACAGCCAGCAACAGCTGCACACGATTAGAACTCAGCCAGCAAATGGTGAGCAGCAGGGCTATCAGGGGAGGTGCCCAGGGATTTTCACAGCTGCTGGTCATGTTACAACAGGTAGTGGGACAAGGAGCATCTCTGATCCTTCTCCTTTGAGCTCCCAATAACTGAACATAGTGACCAACCAAGAACCAGGGGTTCCTGGCCCACAGGCCAGGTAGGGCAAAGTTGTCTGGAACTCATCCCTGCCCACTAGGACCCCATGCAGTCTCTAGTCAGGGGGAATAAGGGATATAGCACATGCACCTCATCATTCAGGACACATATCCTAACTTGAATAATAATAATAAGAGAACCATCTTCCTATTTGTGCGCTACTCTCCTTTCTCTACTGAAAAGGAAACCAGCCTTTCCAGACCCTTCCACTGAGAACCAGCAAGAATCCACACCTGCCCCTGTTCATGAGGTAGTATACGTGGAATGGGGCAAATTCTTCATCTCCACAGTAACACAAAGTGCAGGGGACGGGCCATGAACTAGCAGACAAGAGGAAGTGGGTCTGAAGACTTGAGCTTCTACAAAAGGGCAAACAATGCAGAACAACTCAGGAAGCCCAGGCCATGTGTTACCTGAACTTCCCCATCTGCCCCACCCCTGTTGGATCAAAGCCAACAGCTACCTCAACTGATGGAGCAGCCAGCTCTGGGGAGGAGCTGAGAGGCTCTGGGCTGTGGCAGTTACCGTAGCCCCCAGCCTCGCCCACCCAGAGGCTGTCACTGCATGCTCTGCACAGCCAACCCACCCAACAGTTTTCTGGCTGAGATCACTTCTCCCCACTCCTCCCTCAGATCTAGAAAACTCCAGTCCAAATCCCTCTGAACACTATGGAAGGGCATCTTCCAGGTGCCTGAAGACACAACACAGGGCTCAGGCTTGCCTGTCATCCTCCCGTGGCCACCAGTACAACACAATCCTACTACTCCCTACAAACACACAATGACGTGACCTGTCCCTCTCCAGAAAGGATCAATCCATCCACTCCATCCTTTCCGCTACACAGTGTATTCCCGCAGGCATCTTGGTCCACCTCTAAGGAGCCGTCCTCCCTAACCACAGACTCAGGGTGCCATGGCCATCCCCTGGTGTGATGTCCTGGGGGACATCCAGTGCTCCCTCCCTCTTCAACATCAGCCCTATCAGCTGTCCCCAAGGGCAGTTCAAATTTGAATTCCCAAGGAGTTGAGGCATGGCAGACTCGGATAATGCCCCCATCCCTACAGGCTCACCTCCATTTGACGCCATCCCCTCAGGCTGGGCACTGACAACCGCTGTCTGGCAGTTTCCGCAATGAGAAAAGTCAAGGGCAGGACCCAGAGAGTGACCTGGCTCAGCAGATGCTCCTGAGTCCAAGTGGAGCAGGGAAAATTTGAATGTAAATAGCTTTGGAACATAGGACCCCAGACATTCTGCAGAGGGGGAGGGGCGGTGGGCAGCTGGGCTTGGCAAGGGTGGGGGACATTCTGTGAAGAGCTCTGGCCAGTAGGCAAGAACCTGAGTTTCCCTTCCAACTGGACGGCAGCAACACAGACGGTGTGGGCCCCTTTAGGCAACTTTTAAATTGTCCTTCTGACTCACAGCAAAAGCTTGTACCTGATGTCCCCTTTACTTCATTCTTTATCAACAGACCTACTTTTGTGCCATTCAACTCATGCTCCTTCCCACTTTGGCTCTTTCCCACTCTTGATGAATTTCAACAGGGACTGCACTTCCCGAACAAAATTCAGGACACATTTTCAGTCTGAGAAACACAGGGGTTCTTAGGAAGGCAAGGGGACTGGGTGTTTGAAATCAGGATGGTCTCAGCCGATCCAGGCTATTAGGTGGCTGTGCGCTCATCATTGTTTACGAGGCAGTCCTTGTGCCCCCGGGTCATGTATGTTGCTGGAATCTCTGTCCACAGCAGCCAGCAGGCCTTACTTCCCATCCCCTTTCCTGGGAAACCTCAGTCCAGGAAAGAGTGGCTATGCGACACTACAGCACCGAGACCAGAAACCCTTCCATTTTGTTTCCCAGCGTATTGTGATGGTGTTAAATTTTTTTTTTTTTTATCTTTTACATGATTTTAACTCAACTAAGCAATACTTTTGCATGGTTCCAGATTCAAACTGTGCACAGTGGAATAGGCAGTGACCAGTCTTCCTCCCACCTCTTTACTCTGGCCACCACATTTTCTTTCCTGGACTAAACAAGTGTTATCTGATTCTTTTCCATCTTTCCAGAGATATATTATGCAATCAAAAGCATAATAAAGCTATTTTTGCTATCTAAAAATATTTTGTTTTTTTGGGTAAAAATTAATATATATGTTCCAGTATTCTTCTGATACTTGCAGTGACCATGTTTGTCCCAGTAATGTGGTTCCTGTCTTTATTTCTGTAGGTAAATTGCTAGAACGAGATGTTGCTGTTTTTTAAAATTAAAAATACATGAAAGAACATAGTGGCCAGATTTAGCAAGTATGAATAAAGAATACCAAGTGGAATTTGAATGGAAGATAAACAGCGAATTCGTTTTTTACTACAAGTATGATCCGTATGATATTTAGAGTATACTTTTACAAAAAAAGTCTGTTCTTTATCTGTGTTATTCACATTTCACTGGGATCTTGCACTTTATCTGGTAACTCTTCCCAAAAAAGTATAACATATTAGGCAATTATTGTTTTTATTTTTATTTTATTTTATTTTATTTTTTGAGATAGAGTCTCACTCTGTCGCCCAGGCTGGAGTGCAGTGGCGCAATCTTGGCTCACTGCAAGCTCCACCTCCTGGGTTCACACCATTCTCCTGCCTCAGACTCCCAAGTAGCTGGGACTACAGGCGGCCACCACCACGCCCGGCTAGTTTTTTGTATTTTTAGTAGAGACGGGGTTTCACCGTGTTAGCCAGGATGAGTCTCGATCTCCTGACCCTGTGATCCGCCTGCCTCAGCCTCCCAAAGTGCTGGGATTACAGGCTTGAGCTACCACGCCCGGCCTAGGCAATTATTGTTAACTCTCCACTGTGAGAGTGAGAACTTGCAGTAAGGAGACTCAAGTGTGAATCTTGGCTGCACTGCAAAAAGCTTCTTCACCACAACCATTGCAGAAAACAACAGCAGGCTGATTTGATGAGAGGAAGTCAGGAGTAGCCATTATATCCTTCTCAGCTTCCAGGTTTAGTGGCAGCACGCAGTTTTAAGGGACAGGAGGGCAGAACACCGTCATTTTCTTTCCTAACATAAAGCAGCTTACAATTCCTAGAACTCCGGTTTCTCCAGGAGTTAGAAATTCACTACCCATGTCCATTCTGAGACAAGCGAGGATGCTGTCCACCAATGTCCCATCCCCATTCCCATGCATCCCCTCGCACGTGTGAATCCTGGCTGGCCTCTCTCAGCTCACTGTTGGCCTCATCTTCACCACAAGTGTCATCGCATGTGGTTCTGTGTGAGAATTATTGTAGCCTGTCTTTAAAAAAAACTTCATTCTCATTTTCACACCGAGAATTGCTGTTTATCAGCGTCAAAATGACAGGAAAGAGCACTCATGTTCTGTGCCGTGAACAAGGGGAGTTTTAGGAAACTGGTCAAAGGAGATGAGGAGGACTCAGAGCACAGCAACGAAATCTGAGACACACACGTCACTCCCTGCTGGGCAGGGTAATTTTGCACTGATGGGAGGGTGTTGGGGAAGGGAAGAGGCCGTCAGCTGGACCGGTGCACACTGTGAACATTCACTGAAACACACCCTGTTGGCACTTACGAAGCATTTGCCCCTTTTGAAGACATTTGGACTTAAGAAGGCGGAGTTGCAGGAAAACGTAACAGGGGCCACACCGCAGGGGAAGGCGGTGGATTGCAAGTCTCAAGCCCAGGGTTCTCCCCTCCTCGCTCCAGTTGTGTGAAAAAGTCATTTCCTAACTCCTGTCCAATATCCTCATGAGTTCTCGGTTTTGTCCCAACTCTAAACCTGAATGGTCCAGCGAGCATTTCTATAAAATGCCTCCACAGTGGCCACTGGGAGGCGAGTGACCTCTACGCAGTGACTGCCTGTCCTTCTGTCCTGTGAGACAGAGCTGCCTTCTTACATGCAGCCCTCTTCCGCTGTGCGACTCTACCTCGATCTTAGCTGAGAAGATCAACAGAGAGCAATTCAAGCAAAATCATAGTGAACTTACCAAAACAAAACAAAAAACAACCACTTTGGAGGCCTTTCTGAGGACTTGAGCTTTTATCATGGGGCAAACATAAATGATTTTCAATCAGTAACTTCATCTAAGAGGGCCGTTGAGGCAAAATATCACGCTCAGGCACTGAAGAAGGGCAGAATTCTTGGTTGCTTCCTCCCTTGTCAAGTCAGTGAGCCGATGCTTTCTCAAGATGTTCACACAGGGCTTTGATACAGGATTTCAATGAGTCTTTTTCTGAACCACTGATACAAAAAGCATACTGTGGAACAGTGTCTTGTCTCAATTCTGCAATTGCTTCTGTACATGTTTGAAGTCCCAGACCCCAGGAGGAGAGACCATCAAATTAGTCAAAGGTAATTTGGGAAGACTGGCCATGGGAGGTGGTGGCTAAAAGCCCTCTGGCCCCTGCTCTCTGAGCATGCCCACACAGTGTCCTGGGCCGCACTGACTGCTGAGAAAGAACATCTCAGGGCTTGGATCCCCTGTTCAGAGGACACATGCTCTTCCACCCAGTCACGGAGCAGTAGAGGAATGGCGGCTCCATGCTGTGTCTTGCAGAGCTCTCAGTCTCTGCACTTAAGGCTCCAGGTCGGCCTGGATGTGAAGGCTCTTCAGTGTCATCACATGGATGACAGACAATAGGAATCCTGCAAATGAGCAGAAAAGATCTGATGATGAAAGTTTCTTCTGAAGCTATCACAAACTCAAGTCAGTGAGTTGCTTACTAGTTTTTTTTTTTTGGTTTTGTTTTTTGTTTTTTTTGAGACGGAGTCTCGCTCCGGCCTTGAAGTGTAGTGGTGTGATCTTCTCTCACTGCAGCCTCTGCCTCCCGGGTTCACGCAATTCTTCTCCCTCAGCCTCCCGAATAGCTGGGACTACAAGTGTGCGCCACGACGCCCGGCTAATTTTTGTATTTTTGGTGGAGACGGGATTGCACCATGTTGGCCAGGCTGGTCTCAAACTCCTGACCTCAGGTGATCCACCCACCTCGGCCTCCCAAAGTGCTGGGATTACAGGTGTGAGCCACCGCGCCCGGTCAGACGCGCTCGTTTCTAGGAGGGAGGGTCTTGGAGGTTCCAAGGAGAAGGCGTCGCCTGGTCCCAGGAAGCGCCCAGGTGCCGCGTCCCTCCGTTTCCCCATCTCCTGCGGGCCCCTCCCAGGGCGGGCTCCAGGCCTGTCCCGTGCGCCTGCGCACGAGCCTCGAGGTGGGCGGGGTTCCAGCGCGCAGCCGGCTGCCCTCAACCGCTCGCTGCCAGCATCAGTTGCCGGTGGTTCGGGGCAGGGAGACGGCGCAGCGCGAGCAGAAAGGGCAGTTACCCAACGGCCGTCGCTCTCATGGCGTCCTCCGTGGTATTACCTAAAAATAAAGTTATTAGTGATTAGAAGGTAATCGCCTCCTGGTCATGCTTCCACTGGTCACCACTGTCTGCGGGGCGACCCCATCCTTTGGCCAGAGCAGGCCTGTGGCTGCCTCAAGGCGGGAGCGTTCCTTAGCGGGGGCTCTGCGGGACGCCCAGGCCCTGCTCCTTTCCATGCTCGCCTGGCCTTGAAATGAAGGGGGAAATTTAGCAATGCAGTGGGAACCCCAAAGTTTGTCTCGGCGGTGCCGCTCACATTCCAAACAATGCAAAAGCTTGAGGAAAACCTCAGCAGTTGAAACGTGTTGCAGTTCAGCAAAGAAGTAGCTCCTGTCCTCGTAAAATCAGTGAAGTTCTCACGGACGACCTCATTTGAGTGAGTTGTCAAACTTGTTGACTTAATCAGAATGATCAGCCAGCAATGCATGTTCCAATACGCTCATTTGCCAATGATATGAGCAGCTGCAAAGTGGAAGAACAGGCCTTTAGTCATAGTCTGTTGACTTGGTAGCACAAGTTGGTTGTGGATGCAAGAGTGTGGCCAAAGTCAAGAAAAGCTTCTATGAGAATCGCTTACTTATGTGGAATTTACAATAACAAGTAGTGTATATCATTATTTGTAAATTGTAGACTACACATGTATTATATCTAAAATTTACTGCACACACGTGTGTGTCTTGGGCAGTTGGGTCAGTGTGTGTACTTGAAAATGTGAGAAAGATTTGTTTTGCATTTTGGGGGTTGTGAGATTTGTGGGGGTGGCTGTGTGTATGTGAAAATGTGTTTATATGAATTCTTAGTCTGGAATTTGATATGTATTTAATTGGTGAGAATCTAATATGGATTCACCTGTGTGGGTTGGTGGTGTCTGTGCGGAGATTGCAGATTAAAGGTCATAATTGGGCTGGGCATGGTGGCTCACGCCTGTAATCCCAGCACTTTGGGAGGCTGAGGTGGGCAGATCACTTGAGGTCAGGAGTTCAAGACCAGCCTGGCCAACTTGGCGAAACTCCGTCTGTACTAAAAATACAAAAGTTAGCCAGGCGTGGTGGTGCGCACTTGTAGTTCCAGCTACTCAGGAGGCTGAGGCAGGAGAATTGCTTGAACCCGGGAGGTGCAGGCTGCAGTGAGAGGAGATGACGCCACTGCACTTCGAGGTGGGAGCGAGACTCCATCTCAAAAAAAAAAAAAAAAAAAAAAGAAAAGAAAAAGAAAAGCAAAGAAGGTCATTCTTAACTATTCATAACTGCTTTTGTGAGAGTGTGTAAGAGTGAGTGTCTGTACTTGGAGGATATGAGGTGTAAGATATGTATACAAGAAGAATTAGGATTAGATATTTGCGATTTGGGTTGCAAAGATGTATTTTCCATGTGTTTTCTCAGATGAATGTTGGGGATTTGTATTTGTCTAATGTTTGGCAGATTTGGAAGAATTACCTTGTTGTGCATATGAGCAATCATAGAGAAAGTGCTTGTGTCTATTTTTGTGGATGTACACTGTGGTTTACATATTTGGGGAATGTAGGAAGACCGTATGTGTGCTCAGAATATGTTGCATGGTTGTGTGTGTTTCTTTTCATGATTTTCAGGGGTTGCATATGGCTATTTCAGTGTGTGAGGGCAGATCCATGACTACTGGGGGACTGAATGTATGTAGAATGAATGTGTGCAGTTGTGAGGTAGAGTTTGTATGATTCTGTGTCTTGCAAAATGGAGGAGTTATTTCTGTGTGAGCATTTGGAAGTGTGATTACATATGTGCAGGTATTGTGGGACTGTATGTGTATTTGGGGATATCAGGTGGCATGTTTGCATGTTTGCATATTTGTGGCGTGTTAGTTAATCGCAGATATATTTAGGGCATATAGGGAACTACATGAGTATTGAGTTTGTGTGTGTGTTCAAGGGCATGGCAGTTTAGATGAATGTTTTGTGGAGCTATGTGCTTGTATTTTTCAGTAAGTGGTTATTAGGGTTATATATTCTGGGAATGTAGTATGTGTGCGTCTGATAGAGAGATGGGGTTCTGTGTTTATACAGGAGAGTGAGATAATTGAATTTATATGTATTACAGGTATGTGATATGGTTATTCGTTAGTACTTGGCGATGTGAGAGACACTCCCCTTGTTTACAAAGCGGTGCCCAGCTGGTTTGTGCAAGTGGAGAACATGGTGGACCAGCTCCTAAGGAACAATGACCTGTGCTACCGGTGAGCACTAAGATGTGTTTCTTCATAATGTCTTTTGTCATGTGGTTAGTGTGGCTAACACTTCCCCCAAGTTATAATTTTAATAGCCATCTTTTATTGTGTATTATAATACACCATGTTGGCCAGGCTGGTCTCGAGCTTCTGATCTCAAGTGATCCGCCTGCTTCAGACTCCCAAAGTGCTGGGATTACAGGTGTGAGCCACTGTGCCTGGCCTTCTTTAGGTAATTTGAAACAGTTTATAACAAAAATTTTAAAATAGACTACAACGAAGTAGAAGACAGACCACCACGTAGAAAGTAGAATGAAGTTAAAATTCTGGGCTAATATAATTATGTTGGCTAAACATCACTAGAAGCGGCAAGTTATAACAGAATGTAGATTTTGAAGTCAAACACATTTGTTCACCCCTTCCTTACTGTATAATGTTGAACAAGTTGCTTAATTTCTGAGATGTAACATCCTCCTCCACAAAATGATGTAACAATTATATTGTAGAGTGTTGTGAGAATTAAATAAAATGACATTGTGTGTATTCTGGATGATACTTAATAAATCTATTTTCTTTCCCTTAAGCTGTTAGTTGAGACAAAAGGGCGACAGAATTATGCAAATTTTGTTGTTGAATATAAGACTTTGTTTCTGAGATTCTCGGAAGTGTGGACCATCAGCATCAGCATCAGCATCATCTGGGAAGCAGTTAAAAATGCAAATTGTCAGCCGGGTGCAGTGGCTCACGCCTGTAATCCCAGCACTTTGGGAAGCCGAGGCTTGCGTATCACGAGGTCAGGAGTTTGAGACCAAGCTGGCCAACATGGTGAAACCCCGTCTCTACTAAAAATATGAAAATTAGCTAGGCGTGGTGGCGGGCGCCTGTAATCCCAGCTACTCGGGAGGCTGAGGCAGGAGAACTGCTTGAACCTGGAAGGCGGAGGTTGCAGTGAGCCGAGATTGTGCCACTGCACTCCAGCCTGGGTGACAGAGCGAGACTACATCTTAAAAAAAAAAAAAAAAATAGAGTTGGGGTTTCACTATGTTGGCAAGGCCAGTCTTGAACTCCTGACCTCAAGCGATCTTCTCCCACTTGGCCTCCCAAAGTGTTGGGATTACAGGGGTGAGCCACTGCGCCTGGCAATAGATTTTAATTTAAGATAAAGTTCTTTTTTGTTTATTTGTTTGTTTTTTTGAGATGGGTCTGGCTCTGTCACCCATGCTAGAGTGCAGTGGCGTGATCTCGGCTCTCTGCAACCTCTGCCTCCCGGGTTCAAGCGATTCTCCTGCCTCAGCCTCCCGAGTAGCTGGGACTATAGGCACATGCCACCATGTCTGGCTAATTTTTTGTATTTTTAGTAGAGATGGTGTTTCACCGTGTTAGCCAGGATGGTCTCGATCTCCTCACCTCATGATCTGCCTGCCTCAGCCTCCCAAAGTGCTGGGATTACATACAGGCATGAGCCACTGTACCCAGCCAGAATAAAGTGATTTTTTTTCCCAAAAAAAAAAAATTTATTTTGGACCTTTAAAATTAGGCCACGCTATTAAAAAACAAAACAAAAGTCCACACTCTTATATTCAGCAAATTCATACTAAAATATTCCATTTTTGTAGGATAAAGGCCAAGAAAACTTTACATATGCAACAAGTTTATTACATGTATTTACATGGCTCTTTCTTCCCTAGTTACTTAAAACTTTCACATTATATATCTCTCAAAAGCAAGCTTCCTTTCCCCCCAGGCAAGCTTTGCAGAAATGATACGGTCACATTACTATCAGAATAGCTTAGGCAGTGCTGTAATATAAAAATGTTTTGTTTTGTTTTTGAGACGGAGTCTCGCTGTGTTGCCTGGGCTGGAGTGCAGTAGCGTGATCTTGGCTCACTGCAACCTCCACCTCCTGGGTTCAAGCGATTCTCCTCCCTCAGCCTCCTGAGTAAGCTGGGATTACAGGCATGTGCCACCATTCCTGGCTAATTTTTGTATTTTTAGTAGAGATGGGGTTTCATCATGTTGGTCAGGCTGGTCTCGAACTCCTGACCTTGGATCTGCCTGCCTTGGCCTCCCAAAGTGCTGCGATTACAGGTGTGAGCCACCATGCCCAGCCATAAAAATGTATTTTGTAAGCTATTGAGTGACCATTAAATGATATTTTAAAAAAAATGGTATTGGGCCGGGCACGGTGGCTCACGCCTGTAATCCCAGCATTTTGGGAGGCCGAGGCAGGTGGATCATAAGGTCAGGAGATCGAGACCATCCTGGCTAACACAATGAAACCCCGTCTCTACTAAAAATACAAAAAATTAGCTGGGAGTGGTGGCGGGTGCCTGTGGTCCCAGCTACTCCGGAGGCTGAGGCAGGAGAATCACTTGAAACCAGGGGGCAGAGGTTGTAGTGAACCGAGATTGCACCCCTGCACTTCTGCCTGGGTGATAGAGCAAGACTCTGTCTCAAAAAAAAAAAAAAAAATCTCATTTGAGAACACTTAATAGTTAATACAATTTTTTTTTTTTTTTTTTTTTTTTTGAGACGGAGTCTCGCTCTGTCGCCCAGGCTGGAGTGCAGTGGCCAGATCTCGGCTCACTGCAAGCTCCGCCTCCCGGGTTCACGCCATTCTCCTGCCTCAGCCTCCCGTGTAGCTGGGACTACAGGCGCCCGCCACCTCGCGGTTAGAAATACATTTCTAACATTTCTAGATTGAGGGGCTGAAATGTTACACCTCTCTCTACCACCCATCTTCAGCTTCTTTGTTACCTGTCCTCTTTCGTAGTGTCAGGACAATAGGTGTTGCTTTCTGACAGATCCTTTCCTTTGTCTCAATACAGAAGTTTTCATGGGCTGAGCTGCTGAGTTCAGCCTGGGAACTGAGGCCAACATTGGAGTCTCCTCAGCACACAAGTTGGAAAGAAGTCCTAGTGACTTAAAGCTCAGAAGCATGGAAAGCAGGGCTCCCTCTGGATGTGGAATCCTCCGTCCCTTTCCAGGGAGGGAACAAAGCCCACAAGCACCAGTGAGTGAACTGCTGACCACCCCCGCAGTTTAAAATATATCCTTTTTTCTCTTATCTTTGCAAAAATAACATGGCATAATATTTATTCCTAGCATCCAGCTACCTAGAGATACCACTTTCCTGTCTCTGCCCATCCGCATTATGTCTCCCTGTTTTCTTTTGAAGCCAGCCAAAATCTGTGTTGTAAACTGCTTTCTCCCCACTCAATATATAGTGGGCTTTTTTTTTTTTTTTTTTTTTTTTTTTTTTTGAGATGGAGCCTCCCTCTGTTGCCCAGGCTGGAGTGCAGTGGCATGATCTCAGCTCACTGCAAGCTCCGCCTCGAGAGTTCAAGCAATTCTCCCCCCTCAGCTTCCCAAGTAGCTAGGACTACAGGCACAGGCCACCTCACCCAGCTAATTTTTGTATCTTTAGTACAGACAGGCTTTCATCATGTTGGCCAGGCTGGTGTCGAACTCCTGACCTCAAGTGATCCGCCTGCCTCAGCCTCCCAAAATGCTGGGATTATAAGCGTGAGCCACCGCGCCTGGCCTATAGTGAGCATTTTCTGTCAATCATATATAGTCTCCCATAAAATGACTTTAAATATGTGCAATAACTACTACTAAAAGGCTGGGTGTGGTGGCCCATGCCTACAATCCCAGCACTTCAGGAGACCGAGGTGCAAACCGAGGTGCAAGGATGGCTTGAGCCCAGGAGTTCATGACCAGCCTGGGCAACACAGAGAGACCCCCATCTCCACACACACACACACACACACACACACACACACACACACACACACAAATTTAGCCAGGGGTGATTGTATGAATCTGTAATCCCAGCTACTCAGGAAGCTGAGGCAGGAGGATTGTTTGATCCCAGGAATTGGAGACTGTAGTGAGTCATGATTATGCCACTGTACTGCATTCTGGACAAAGAGTGAGACCCCATCTAAAAAAAAAATTCTGGCCAGGTACAGTGGCTCACGCTTGTAATGCCAGCACTTTGGAAGGCTGAGGCTGGCGGATCATGAGGTCAGGAGTTTGAGACCAGCCTGGCCAACACAGTGAAACCCTAGCTTCCAGCTTCCAATTTTTCTACCACAAATAGCCTTGCTAAACATCCCTGAAAATTAATGTATGCATACATCCTGGATTGTTTTTCATTTGAATACATTTCTAGATGTGAATTAATGAGACCAAACGTAGGTAAGAAATGGAAAGGTTTTAGTGGGCCCGGGGGTGCTGACAGCAGCACCACAACAGCACGGTGACAACGCAGTGATGGAGGCCTCAGCAGCGCCTATTCCTTTCTTGATTTACCGCATTGCTTCCTCCCTCTTCTCCCCAGTAATTATTAGTCAGAACTTCCCAGAATAAAGCCAGGGCTCTGATTTTACCTGGACAAACAGTGCCAGAGGTTTCCCCTGAAGGAAAGACTGAACCCGGCAGAGAGACGCAGGTGAGGGTGGGAGTTCCAGAGGGGAAGGGGCACAGGTGGAGCCGGGATCCAGATTACGGATGGATGCCCCTCCCAGGTAGCACCCAGGCCCAGCCCTTCCCCTCCCATGCATGGGAGTGGCAGGAGGTTGTGACAGTGGCCCTGACAACAGGTGGCCAACCGTCCTTTATGCCATTGACCGTAGAGTGCTGCAGTCTCTGTCTTCCTTGTTTCTCCTCACCCTCTCTTGCCCCACACCTTTGGCTCTCCTCCCTTCCCTCTTCGCCAGGCCCAGTTGAGTGGGATGAGCCCAGCCTCTGCAAAGCAAAGGCCTCGGGCTGTGGAGCCACTGCACACCACAGGCATCTAGCTATAGGATGCCCAGGTTGCAGCTTGGGACCAGCCCTTGGAGGAAAAGGTCTAACTCAGTGCTCTTTACCTGCACACTGTAATGGGGTGACTGGTTTCTTTTCGTGGTGTTTTTCTTTCTGACGGAAGAGGTCCTGGATATCAGAAAGAACTTCTTTTTTTTTTTTTCCAGAGACAGAGTCTAGCTCTGTCACCCAGGCTGGAG